CGCATCGGTGATGGGCGGATCGGCGTCGGAGGTAGGAGGGGCGGGGTAGGCGGCGGCAGTAGCGGTGAGGGTGGTCGCGACTTCAGTGTCGGTGGCAACGGCAGCGATGGTGTTTGCTGTCCCGGAAGTGGGGAACCCGGCGGTGGCGGATGTGACGTCATCTGTGGGTTCTCCGATTGTGGCCTCATGGCCAATGGCGGCGGACCGATTGTGGGGAAGGTCCTGGGTACGGCTGGGGATTTGGGGAGTGGAGGAAGCCCGTTTTGGGTGGTAGGCACCAGTAAGTTTACTGTACTTACGGTTTTTAGTGTCCAATAAAGCTGAGTAGAATTGGGAGTTCAGGTTGTGGATCCTACGTAGAATAAAAAACAGGAGAGGTCCTTTGCAGGTCTGGGAGAGGGAGGCTCTGAGCTGGGGTAGGCTTGATTGTAGTGTCTGGAGATGCCGGCGCATTGCTGCAAGTGTGTGTTTCAGGAGTCGCAGGGAGAAACGCTTCTGAAGGATCTCAACACCATGAGTGTAGATATTATCACGGTTGGGGCCAAATTGGGAAGGCTTGAATGTGGATTGTAGTCCATTGGGGATGATCTGGTTCCGTAGGCAGGTGCTAAGGAAGGTGATGTGGCTGTAGTACCTGGTTTGCTTCAGGACGTGATCGAGCAGTTTCAGGGCCGAAGAGATTACGAGAGAGTTGCAGTGGGAGAGAGATCCCTTGAGGTTTGTCCGGAGGGAGGAGGGTAACTTCTTCAGGTTAGGCATCCTTAGAAGAGGCTTCGCAGTGGGGTTAAAATCGAATCAGAGGTAGTAGGAACTGCAGATGCTGGAGAATCCGAGACAACAAGGTCTCGGCTTCTCCAGCATCTGCAGTTCCTACTAACGGTGATCAGACACAGGTAATCTGTTCTCGATTGCGATGGACTCTGGGGCTTTCCTGAATATGTGCCTGCCTCCATCAAACTGGTCATTACCCATTCCTCTCTCAGACTGCACTTCCTTCAGCTGTGGTGGAAAGGTAATGAGAACAAAGAGAAGGCTAAGGTTGCTACAGAAGTTAAAGACAGCAACTTAAACAGACAAGGCAGGCAAGAGCACATCAGGGAATGAGGGAAGACCGATGAATTGAACTGCATTTATTTCAATGCGAAAGGACTGACAGGTGAGGCAGATGAAATCAGGGTGTGGGTAGGAACATGGGACTAAGATATCATAGCTATTAGAGAAACATGGCTGAAGGAGGGATAGGACTGGCAGCTTCATGTTCCAGGGTGCAGATGCTGTAGGAACGGTAGAAAAGGATACAAGAGAAGTGGAGGACTGGCATTTTTGATTAGGGAAAGCATCACGGCAGTACTTAGAGAGATTATTCCTTGGGGACTGTCCAATAAAACTATATGGGTGGAACTGGGAAATAAGAAGTGGGTGATCTCATTGATGGGATTGTACTGCAAGTCCCCCAATAGTCAATAGGCCCAATGTAGCCGAGGACATAAAACATCCACTTGAAACATGATTAAAAAGGTCAACTCTGTTAATATGGTGCAGCTCTTGGTATGCCCTACTGTACCCTTTATTGAATCAGGTTTGATCTTCTAGCTTAGTTATACAGTGAGGATATGCCAGGCTTTGAGGTTACAGATTTTAGTTGAAAACAATTCTGTTGCTGCTGATATCTTCAATGTGGAGATGGGACTTTGTCATCACAAGCGCTATGCAGTCGTCTCTCACTGATACTGAAATGGACAGACTCATCTCTAACAGGTAGACTGGGGTGGACAATGTCAAGAAGATTGTTTTCCTCACCACCTGCTGCAGACTGTGTCCTTTATAACTCATCCAGCTTGGGGAGCAGCACTGAGCTGCTCTTATTGATGGGCAATTAAGTCTCCCAACCAAAGTACATTCTGTGCCTATGCCAGGCTCTGTGTATCTCCAAGTGGTGTATTGTTTCATCCACTGGGAATGGCGGTGGTACTTGGTTAAACAGTATTTGAGCCTTGCCCAGCTTTGACCGGTGTGGGTTACTCAGTGTTATGGGAAGATCCGCAACCTCACAGCTCTCCCCACAGCCGACCCCTGAATTGATGCTCATGTACCAGCACCTCTGGAGGGGCTGGCCTGCCAGGGATGGTGAAATGGTTAACGTTGTAAGCTATGATTCCATGATTATGAGCATATCAGCCTGTTGCTTCCATAGAAACAGTCCATTCAGCCCAACAACTCTCCACCAACTGTCCAAAGAGCATCCCAACCAGACTCACCCTTCTACTTTACCCCTGCAACTACCATAGCTAATCCATCTAAGCTACACATCCACCAACACTACGGGCAATTTAACATGGCCAATCCATCTAACCCGCACATCTTTTGACTGTGGGAGGAAACCAGAGCATCCAGAGGAAACCCACGCAGAGAATGTGCGAACTCCACAAATACAATCACCCGAGGCTGGAATTGAACCTGGGTCCCTGGTGCTGCAAGGCAGCAGTGCTAACCACTGAGTCACTGAGTCACCATGCCGCCAGCATGATTGAAAAGTCCATGGGCAACTCTCAAGTCCCCAGATGTTGGTAAAGAGGAAATTGCAAAGGCGACAGGGCTGTGTTTGTCATTTCTGGTGTTTAGGGTTGACATTGGATGCTCTGTCAGCTCTAAACTAGGTAAAAATCGATTATGTCCTTTAGTGAAGGGCATTAGTAAACCAAATGGGATTTAATGACAATCACCAGTCATTATTTGCTCGCCATTGGACTAGCTTTTTAATTTCTCATTTTGTTGAATCAATTGCCCTGAGGAGATTTGAACTCATGACCCACGTCATTAACCTAATGTTCTGGATTACTAATCCAGTGACATTATTAATACATCAGACCTCTCTCTCTCTCTCTCTCGGAATGTCACTGGCACAACCAAATATTTCAAGTACAAGTTGCATGTGTAAAATGAACTTTGGCACGAGTAGATCACCTTTATTTTCCTGGTATTAGCATAGACTATCCCATTTTTAAACAAATAAGTAGAAACAGCACTCTGCTTTGCCTGAGCTCCCACTTGGAGTAAATTCATTTTGTACCGTCCCCTTTCAAATTGTTGTGGCACTCAAACCTGGCTATGCAAAATTGCTGCATCTTGACCTTGAAAGTTCTGAAACTTATGCTACCACCTGGATTAGAAATGTTGAATATGGAAACTGGCTAATTAACAGGAGAAATATTCTGGGATCTTCATCATGAACTGACTGAGGGAAGTCGAGCCATACCCATTTCAAGGAGTATAAGGGACTGGCTCCTGATCGTGGAAGACTCAGCAACAACACAGAAGTTCAATCAGTCTTAACTACAGGCACGGGCACTTGAGACTTCATTCCTTTCAGACTAAAGTGCCTGCCTTAGGGTTTACATCCTATACCTGAGCTAGTGCCAGAATCATTCATCGTTGTCCAAAAATGGAACAACGTCAATTGATTGCTTTTGGGATCCCACAGAATGACCAGCAGACACATCCTCTGAGGGACAGGGTGAGTATTTTATCAAAACATGACATTACACTCACATTAAACTCCGAGAGACGCTCTGAGTTTTGAGATTTTGGTTGTTGTGAATTGCAGAGGCCCTCTTCAGCGTGCCAGTGCGATTCCAAATCACCAACAGATTGCTGCTAAACAGAACAACAGAGTTTAGAGGGGGGAAGATGGGTTCTTGATAAGTAAGGGCAACAAGGGTTACAAGAAGAATAGGATTGAGAAACACATCAGACACAATTGAATGGCAGATCGATGGGCTGAATGGCCTAATTTTGCTTGTATATCTTATGGTCGTTTGGAAAATTGTACTTTTAGCTTGAATTCTAACCTGTGAAATTCTCATTTCTGAGCTGCCATTTCCTTTCTTTCCGTTAGACTATTACTAATGAAATTGTGGGTGAAGGTGATGAGAACATGGAGCGTGGTAACTGGTCCTCGAAAACTGACTACTTGCTCTCGATGATCGGTTACGCTGTGGGCCTGGGGAATGTCTGGAGATTCCCATACCTGGCTTACAGAAATGGATCCAAAATGTGTCAAGAGTGAAGTAAAATTTAGTGAATTATTTCATTTCTTTATAAAGAATATTCAAGTCAACAAAAAAAAACGGAAATGTCGAATTTTGTTTGGATACAAGTCACTAGGAACAAAGAATCCAATCTCACAGGTTTTTAGCTATACAGTGTTTTGGAGTGTATTTTAGAATCAGAGGCAAGAGCAAGATACATCAAATAGTTGGCTTTCAAAATTAAACGTCTGAGCCCTGGCAGGTTTGTAGAATTGTTAATCAATGAATTTTGAATACCTTTTAAAGTGTTATTGTTTAAAATACATGAATTATCTACATCAAGTATACTTAATGCACCATATTTGAAACCCTCAGTTACGAGTCTTCTCAGTCAGTCTCTGTAGCTCAGGTTTGTTCGTTGCGTTCTAACTTGCTTATGTTAGATGCTCTTCAAAACCCCACAATCCTAGATCACTGAAAGCAGCAGACACGTGTCCTAACAACATGAGGCTGCAAGATCAGGGTGTAATGAAAAATGAAGATGATATGACTAAGAGGCTGTCTGGAGAGAGCTTTCATGAAGGACATACTTGGGCTTGTGTAGATCCGTAACTGTCTACATAATCTGTAATAAAAGATTATTGGTGAAATAAGCCCAGACTGCTGTAAAGTTATTTGATGGATAATCAGATCCCTATCACTTCAAACAAAAGATGAAACAGAAACCGAGAAAAAATGCATAAAAATGTTGCAACACAATTTTATAAGGAGACAGAAAATAACCCAATTCCAGGAGAAAGAGAAGGTGAGAATTTCTTTCTGATTTACTCTATTTAGTAACTTTAGGAGCTGCATCAGAGAGCACATCGTCTCCTGTATACTAATGTACACTTACACCCACAAAAGCAGAGAGTAATCATGGGTAAGGAATTGGGTATGAGGACATTGAATTTCAATACAGGGAGAGATGGAAAGATTGACAGATGGAGGGACACACAGATCAATGCATTGATAGGCAGGCAAATACATTAATAGATCTTCGGCTTGTTTCCGTGCTGTATAAATCTGACTCTGACTCCATGAGCTTTCAGTCTCTGGATTGTTAACATGTGACAATTGACCCATGCCCTCTGGATACCTGACCCACTCTCTGCCTCTGGACATCTGATACCCACTCTCCAATATCCACAACTCACAACCCACTGACCCACTTACCCCTTTTCCCAACTGTCACATTATACCGTCAATCACTTACCTGCCATGTTACTCCCTCACTCAGCTGACATCCATGCCTGACCACCCACTTGCATCCCAAACCCCTCACCTACCTACCACCCTAGTCTCTTACCTATCTCCTTAACCTATGCTTACTTACCAATATCCCCTCATCAATTAGTTTATACACTTCCCTTTCCTCAGTACTGAAATACAACTGATGTTTCTCCAAAACAGGGCCATGGCCTTCTGTGACAACCCACTCCAATGCCAAATGTCAGATTTTCTAGACTGATGCATTGGAAGCTGGGCCAGTAAAGTCCTGAGAGTTTTGGTGATGATATTCGATCTTGATCTGTAACAAGAAATCTGAACCCAGGTCAGAGTTTCAAAAAGGCATAATTTCAATGGAACCCAAATGGTAGAAAGGAGGAGATTCAGCTTGAACAGATGGTTGCATTCTCCATTGAAGTCCTTTTCTATATTTTCCAGGTGCATTCCTTATTCCCTACACACTCATGCTGGCTCTTGTTGGGATACCATTGTTTTTCCTGGAATGTTCATTTGGCCAGTTTGCCAGCCTCGGAGCTATTAGAGTGTGGAAAGCTGTGCCCATGTTACAAGGTTGGTGTTTACGGAATAATTCAAGCTTAGTAACAGTTCAAGCAGTTATCGCTGTTTAATTTTTTTCCCTTGAGTCAGAGTTTTAAACTGGAACTTGCCAAATGTATCAATATGAATGCAATAGTTTTAAACTAAGTATTGTATTAAACAATATGATGTGGGGAAATGTAGCAGACAATTTGAGAACAACAATAAATAGCAATGAGACAGCAAAGAAATCATATTGATGCTCATGGCTAAGCATTAGCTGGGTCACCGGAATGATGTTCTAATTAACCGTGTTATGTGCCAGAGACAAAAGAGTTTTACACTGAGTAATACTGGTTCATTTAGGTGCAGCTGTTAGGTGTAATGTAAAGTTCTGAGAAAGCCTGTGCTAAAGTTTTAGAAAATGTCTACACCAGCATGCTTCCAATTCCAATCCTCATTAGTGTTGGGTTTAGGACATATTTATAAATGCTCACGCTTTCTTGAACATTGCTTGAAAATTATGTTTTGTGTGTTGTTTGCTTTCTTTGTCTCCCTGTGTTGTTTTGTAAATTATCCCAATCTGCTGGATTTCCACTTCTCCTCACATTTATAAAAGCCTTATCCTTTAGCATGATTGTCTCTTCCCTCTTTTATTGATAATGAATTGTTTACCCTCACAAGTGGAATTCTTAGTCTTTTCGGGCATGTTCTGGTTTCGTATTTGACCAGAAACTTCCTTCAGAATGTTCCACTGTTGGGCTCAGAGCTTCCCCACAAGCATCTCAGACCAATTCAGTTTGCATTTATTCAAAGTTCTTAACTAAAATTTAAAATTTTGGTTGGGACTCATGCCTCTACCACTCAAGCCTTACATCAAATGTAATTTTCTCCATATATTTCACCCATCCCTTATGTGTTAGGATGTCTCTAATTCACGCTTCAAACTCAGTGACTCTGATCCAGTGTGAGGTGAGGCAGTCACTTTAACTCCAGGTGTGGTCAGCTTGGACAGCGTCACTAGACTCAATGGAGATTGACTGTAGCAAAAATTGATTTGTTCGTCTGACTAGTTGAATCCGTGGCCAAGAATTTATTTCTAAACATTAGCTTGTAAACTAAATTTGCGTTCCTTGTTTCATTTTAAGGTGTGGGGCTCACCACAGTATTTGTGACTGTAATTTCGAACGTTTTATACAACTGCATCCTCGCCTACAGTCTGTACTACCTGTTTGCTTCCTTCCAGTCACCCCTGCCGTGGGCGGATTGCTTCAGTTGGTGGGGAGCAGATGAAACATGTAGCAGGACTCCCAAAGGTGCAGTCTTCACTTCTACTGGGGAATGTGTAGACACCGACTGTTCACTGTTCATTCTGTCAGTCTGAGTGAGGGAGAGAAATGGACAATAGTTTCAGTGACCATGTGACCATACAGCAGAAAGAGTTCGATAGAAAGCAGGAGGAATCATGGCACTGAGTCACTGGACCTACAGGATGCTCAGTAATAAATAAAACGTGGCTGTTGGAAATACATTAAAAGAATTAATTGATCTTCCATTTTTAATCATTATTTAAGGTAGTTAGTACCTGAAAGGGTTAATGGGCATCATGCAATTCAGCTTTGCATATCAGGGTATATGTTCTGTTCCTGGAATGAGCAAACAAATCCCTGCCAGTTCCCTAAGCAGTTATTCTAACGTTAATTCCAGGTAGCTAACAGTGATGTGTACTTACCGTTATGCTGACCCTGATGTCTCTCAAGCAACAATCATGTAACTGCTCTGAAGAAGGTTCAACTGACCTGAAACGTTCACTGATTTCTTTCCTCAGATACTGAGAGATCTGCTGAGCTTTTCCAGCAATTCTGTTTTTTTGTTGTTGTTGTTCACGTAACAAGATATAAGGTGATTAGCTATTATGTACTATGTAACAAACTTGTTTTATCAAGATTGGGTTGGGACTCATGCCTCTCTTCTACCAAAGACTTTGGATTGGCAAATTCCTCACATAGTATGAGTAGCTTAGATTGATACCAATAAGGATTAGTATCTGTGAATCTACTCAAATCATCTCAGATAGTTCTGCTGAACACAACTATGTCACATACCATGCTGACAACAGGATAAAATTAGCAATATCTATCACTAATCATGAGAAAAATAAAGGAAAAGAGCCTCTTTCTATTTTGCTGCTCAGCTATTCACCTGTTGCAAAATTATTTCCAAAATTGTACTCTTTTTGCCTGTGTCCATTGTTTCTCTTTCTATTTGTGCCCTCCATTGATTTGCTTCTCTGTCCATCTCTGCCTTTGTGCAAATCTTATTTTCTCTCTTTGAGAGAGCTTTTCCCAGCTATCGCCCTTCATTTGCATTGTCCTTATTCTGCGTGGCTCTCAAAAACTTCCTAGCCGTTTGTGGCTTTTTTTTCCAAGTCTCATCTCTTCCCCATTTTTCTTATTTTCCAAAGAGAACAATTGTTTAACTACTGCTTCCAAACATTTCTCTCCAAGGTGTTCAATTTGAACTCTTGGACAGTTTTAAAGACAGTTTGGTTTTCTTTGCAAAATATATAAGACCATAAGAAATAAGAACCAGAGTAGGCCGTTTAGCCCCTTGAGCTTGCTCTGCTATTCCACAGGCTCATGGCTGATCCATTATTCCACATGCCCACTTCCCTGCATTTTCCACATAGTCCTTGATTCCCCTATACATCAAAAACCTATCTTTTTGTCCTCCTTTGCTCGATTTTGAATTATTCTCTGTCTTCAAGGCTATCACTGACTTTTGCCTCCTTACACTTCCTTGATTTGCCATGGTTGGTTTATATGACTTTCAGACAGTTTCCTCTTCACAGGGTTATACTTCTGCTAAGAGTCATGTATTACCTCCTTAAACGTTTACCACTGCTTGGTTACTGTCCTTCCTGCTAATCTATCTGCCTAGACCATTTTAGCAAACTCTGTCTCCATTTCATCATAATTCCCTTATTTCACTCTCAAACTGAATATTAATTTCAATCATGTTATGAACATTACTTACGATAGATCTTTTACTGAGGTCATTTATTAAACCTGCCTCATTACCCATTACTAGATCCAGGATAGCCTGTTTCCTGATTGACTCCATGACATGTTGCTGTAAGAAACTACAGGTAGATCTCCAATAACACGATAGTTGCGCTCTTGTTCGACTTCACGCTATAGAAAGTTCGTGTTATCCAAACTGCATCCACTATTCATCAATCCCATTAGCCAACACATGTTATAGCGGAAATACCCTGTATTCCTAATGCATTCTATGAATTTGTTGCCATAGCTACCATTTCCAGCTTGATTGACGCAATTAACAAGATGATTAAGGTAACTCATAATGATTGCTCAATTCTTTCTACAAGCACTTATTATTTGTTGATTCATACCTTTTCCTACAGTGTGGCTACTGTTTAGGCGTCTACGCATTACTCCAACCAATGTCTTCTTTCCCTTGCTATTATTTACCTCCATCCAACATGGCTCTACATCATCCAAACCTTAATCAACTCTCTCAACTGACCTCATTTCATCTCTTATTAACAATGCTGCCCCACCACGATTTCCTTCCCTCCTGTCTTTCTGGGAGGTCAGATCTCCCTGACCTCCTTGTAACCACATTTCCATGTTGGTTAGGAGATCATATCCATTTAACTCACTCCAAATGCTTCATGCATTAAGATACAAAACCTTTAGGCTTGCCTTTATGCCATTTTTAATCATCCTAACTTTCCTATATGCTATGGCACTACTTGTCTCACGTCCTTGATTACCCAGTCTACCATTTTTTTTTTAATTTTACTGTTCTTTCTTTTATTGCCTTCCTTGTTTCTCTTTCCCTTGTCACCCTGCTTAGGGTCTCACCCCTTGCTATTCCAATTTAAACCTGTGCCCCAACCACACTAGCAAATATTTGCCTTGAATCAATCCCAGTCCTACCCAGGTGTAACCAGTCTAGTATGTACCGGTCCCACCTCCCCTAGAAGGGATCTTGTGGTGCAGTGGCAGTGTCACTACCTCTGGGCCAGGAGGCCTGGGTTCAAGTCCCACCTGCTCCAGAGGTGTGTAATATTATCTCTGAACAAGTGGATTTGAAAATATCCCACTTTCCCTACAATGTCCCAGGAATCTGAAACCTTCTGCTTTGCACCATCTTTCCAGTCATGTAGTCATCTGATATAACCCACAATTTCTACTCTGATTAGCATGTGACACTGACAATAATTCTGAGATCACTCGCTTTGAGGTCCTACCTTTCAATTTTATTCCTAACTCCTATCTTCAGCTTTTAAGAGCTCATCCTTTTTTTTAACCTAGGTCATTGATATCAATGTGTACCGCAACCACTGGTTGTCACCCTCCACCTACATCATGTCTTATAGCTGCTTCGAAACGTCCTGGATCCCAGAACCAGGGAGGCAACATGCCATCCTGGAGTCTCATTTGTAGCCACAGAAAAGCCTATCTATTCCTCTTACAATTGAATGACCTGCAATTATTGCATTCCTGCACTTTCTCTTCCTCTCCTCTGCAGCATAGCCAACTGTGTTGTAATGAATTTAGCTGTTGCTATTTTCCTCTGAGAGGTCATTCCCCTCAACAGAATCCAAAGCAGTATATAAAAGGTAGTAGGAACTGCAGATGCTGGAGAATCCGAGACAACAAGGTGCAGAGCTGGATGAACACAGTAGGCCAAGCAGCATCATAGGAGCAGAAAGGCTGACGTTTCGGGCCTAGACCCTTCATCAGAAATGGGGGAGGGGAAGGGGGTTCTGAAATAAATAGGGAGCGAGGTGGAGGCAGATAGAAGATGGAAAGAGGAGAAGATAGGTGGAGAGGAGACAGACAGGTCAAAGAGGCGGG